TTGCCCTCTGGGGCTTCTAAAGCAGACAACATTAGCAAACAAAAGGCATTTGAGTTTGTCCTGTCAATCTTTTCCATAGAAAGAGGTAGAAGCTTCCAGTTCAATGTCCAGGAAGCATCACAGAGCTGGTTGTGGTCTTTGTCAACGAGTAGTCCCGGCTTCCTTGCATTTTAGTGAAACGGAGACCCAGGGGTGGGAAGCGGTGAGATGCATCATTTTAGAAAGATCACAGCTAGTAAGGGAGCTCAAATCCAAGTCACCGCTGCTGTTTTTTTCTCTGTCTCCCATCCTCCAAGCATCTGTTCATCAGGGTTTTATGCAGGTGTTGGCCATTTTGCAAATGTTAGCGTGTGTATCAAACATTGCTTCAGTTGGCACAATCACCGTATGCCTGTCACTCACATGGAAGACAGGCCTTCCTCTCTACAGCACTTTCAGGGCTGGTGTCCTCGAGAGGTCCAGGAAAGGACACAGGCTGCAAGAACGTTTCATACCTGGAGACGGCTCTCTGGCCAGCGGGCATACCCCCTTCTGCATGGAATCAGCTACCAACCCTCTCTTCATCCTTCCGGTTTTAAAACATGGGTAGCGCGGCTGTGCTTTTTCTTGACTTCTGACTTCTCTCAAGCTGGGGGGTCGGACATCTGTGGGAAGAGTCTGGGCAGTGAGCCCTGCACTCGGGTTCTCACTGCGCCCTCAAATTATTTTTCATTTCTTTGACATCTTTCTCATTCAGAATGGCAAATGAACCTTTGTGCTGTGCAAGTTGTAGTATTCAGTGACAGGGTATTATGAGTTCTTTGTGCACATAATTCCATGTTATGAAAACCTTTCACCAACTTCTTAAATGGGCTGGTTTGAAGTGCACATTGTGTGATGGCATAATCTGTATGATTAAGAATATGAACTTGGGGAATTAGCATGAGATCTTTCAGGAAGAATCGGGGATTCAGAGAGAAAGACGTGCCTTCATTCTCCAGTCTAGATTTAGGGTGCATTATTTAACATGTCATTTCTTCCAAGTATTTTGACTTCAGTTTCTTCATGGGACTTGCTGCGACGATTTCGAAACTTGTATTTAGCTCTGTTGAGGGAGGACTTACCAAGATAATTCCTCAAAGAAAACAATCCTTTCTTCGATGACTGCTGTTTCTGAAAGATCAATCATAATATGTGGTTTATGGGAAACCATCCATATGGTTTGTGACAAAGAATGTTGCTAGACTGACACTGTACAGAGAGTCGTAGAGAATGAGTCTCTACCGCCAGGAGCTTGACACCAAGGACAAAAAATACCAGAACATATAACGATGTGGAAGACTAAGACGTTGGCTAGGTGTGGGTGTCTCTTTAACTTGACTCCACTCACAAGTAATTTGTGTTCTTCCTTTCAGTAGCACGGGGGCACTAATGGTTTTGGGTCTGGGCTTCAAGCGCACCCCCCAACCTGTGCACATTGTCCCTGCCAGGTGGCTCTTCGTCCCTCCATCCCTTGCCCTAGCCCCTTCTGAGCCTCTAGTGCAGGACCCATCCTCGGGGCCCTTAGCCTGGTCTTCAGTTTAGCTGCCACGCATAAGTGAGAACATGCGGTGTTTGGTTTTCCTTTCCTGCATGAGTTCACTTAGCACGATGTTCTCCAGTTCCATCCACGTAGCCGCGAAGGACATTATTTCATTCTTTTGGATGGCTGAATATATTCCATGGTGTATATACAGAGGGCACCAAAAAATGTATACACATTTTAAGGAAAAAATTGTATTAAAATGCAACACTCAGTATATACCGATAACAAAAGATGAATACAAGCCGTGTTCGACTCTGCAATTCCAAGAGTTGCTCAAAAGTGGTTCCCATCAGCGTCCAGACACTTCGGATGACAATGAAATAAAAATAATACATGGAGCCGGGCTCGGTGGCTCAGCCTGTAATCCTGCGCCATTGGGAGGCTGAGGTGAGTGGATTGCCTGAGCCCGTGGGTTTGAGACCCGCCTGGGCAGTGAGACCTCATCTCTACAATAAATCAAAAAATCACGTGGGCGTGGTAGCGCATGCCTGTAATTCCGGCTACTTGGAAGGCTGAGGCGAAAGGATCGCCGGAGCCCAGCAGGTCGAGGCTGCGGTGGTCAGGAGTGGCCACTGCACTCCAGTCTGGGCGACAGAGTGAGACTCTGACTCAAAAAAAAAAAAAAAATAATAATAATACATGGAGAACATCTCTGAAAATATGCGTGCTTTTTGGGGGCACCCCGGTATACCACGCTTTCATGGTCCATGGATTGACTAATGGGCATGCAGGCTGATTTCCCATCTCTGCGACCATGAACTGTGGGTACTGTGAGGAACACGTGGGTACAGGTATCCCTTTAGCAGAACGGCCTCTGTTCCTCAGCAACGCCCAGGAGTGGGCTGCTGGAGCGAATGGCAGACGTCCTTGGAGCTCTTTGGGAAGCCTCTTCGCCGATTTCCACAGAGGCCAGCTCGACTCATGCTCCCACCAGCAGCGGAGGGGCTTCCCTCTGTCGGATGGCTGGCTGGCGCATCTCTTCCCCCAGTCTGTAGGTTGCTTATTTGCTCTTCTGGTCGCCTCTCTGGCTGACTCGCGCATGACTTTGAATTTATTCCGCGAGTGAAGGCACAGAGTCATGCTGAGGGGCTGGGGAATTTGAGGGCGTCCTTCTTGTCCATCGAGCTCTTCATTCAGTTCACGCGCTGGCTTTCTTCGTGCATTTCCACCCGGTGGCTGCTGTGGGCCGAAGAGCATGTGAGGTCACGTCCTCCACACAGGCTCGAGGCTGTGCCTTGCGTTCGTCTTCTGTCGCCGTGTAGCGAATCGTCCCCAGATTCAGGGGCTTCACGCGGTAACTGAGTGGCTTAGCTGGGTGGTTTGGACTCAAGTGTCTCCGGGGGTTGTGGTCACGGTGTCCACCGAGGCTGCGGCCGCCTGAAGGCTGGTCTCCTTCCCCGGCGACTCGCTCTGCTGGGAAGTCAGCACCGGGTGTGATCAGGGAGCCTTTTCTCCTCGCGGGGGTGCAGTCTCTGCCCAGAGCGAGTGGCCCAAGAATGAGGAGGGTGAGTCGGCAGAGCCGCTTCTTCCCCTGGCCTCCAGAGTTACACTCCGCAGTCTCCTGCAGTCCCAGAGGTCAGCCTGTGCAGTGGGGGGCATCTGTCCCGGGTGGCAATGCTGGGAGGTGATGACTGGGAGGCCATCTTGGATGCTGCTTGTGGTGGCCCTGGAGCCTCGAAGGCGAGCCTGCCCCGCATCCCCGCGACTTGGCGAGTGAATTCCCACGGGGACGTCGTTATCTAGAGAAGCAAGCCGGCAGACTGCAAAGAGCCGTCAGCAGCAGAAACAACGTGTTCCTTGTTTCACATGCCAGCTTGCTGTCTGACAGCTGCACCCTCTGCCTCCAACCTCTCCCAGATGGACTCTCCATCAGCAGGCACTGATGGGTACTTCATCATTCCTGGCTGAGGCCCAACCCGTGTGAGGAAGGGCAAGGATTTGGTTTCCACCCCCAGCCGGCTGGCTTCACCCTCCCCTCAGTCTCTTGACTCCAGCCCCAGGGAGACAGTCCTGGTGGCCTCACCGTCTCTGGAGAGCCTACAGATTAACCAGGGAGTGCAGGTCCCCCTGGAAGCCTGCCCTGGACCAGCCTTCTCTGCAGCGGTGGCCTACCCTCGCCGGTGGCCTGAATTGTGTCCCTCCAAAATGGACACTGAAGTTCAAATGCCTGCTACCTGTGATTGTGGACTTACTCGGAAAGATGGTCTTGGCACATGTTGGCGAAGCTGAGATCACAATGGAGTAGAGCGAGCCTTGGATCCACCACGACTGGTGTCCTTAAAAAGACAGAAAAAGGGGTGCAGGAGGAAAGACAGCCACGTAACAATGGGGGCAGGGACGGTCGCACCTCCAAGCTAAGGACACCAAAGCTCTCAGCACCTGCCAGAGACTGTGAAGATTTGAGGAAGCCTCCTTCCTCGGGCACTTCAAAAAGAACATGGCCCTCTAGGCACGCTGATCTCGGCCTCCCAAAGTCTCTGGCCTTCAGCCACTGAGTTGTGGTTCTTGGCTATGGCAGCCCCAGGAAGCGAAGGCACCTTCCAAGGAAGTGACATCTAACAGTGTCACTGCTGCTCAAGGACACTTGGGAGCAACTGAGAAGGAGGAAGGAGGAGACGGAAGCAAGTCACGTCCCTTGTGTCGAGCACTTGTTGGCCAGCTCACCTCCTCAGAGAGGTTGAGAAAGCAGAGGAGAGGAGAGCCGTGGTAATAACATTCACGAGCAGAGCAGGCACAGTGGCTCAAGCCTGTAATCCCACAATTTGGGAGGCTGAGGCAAGAGGATTGCCTGATCCTGAGGTTCACGATCAGCCTGACAACATGGTGAGACCGCGTCGCTACAATAAGTCAAAAAATTAGCTGGGCGTGGTAGCGCGTGCCTGTAGTTCCAGCTACCTGGAAGGCTGGGGTGGAAGGATCGCCAGAGCCCAGCAGGTCGAGGCTGCAGTGCATGCCACTGCCCTCCAGCCTGGGCCACAGAGTGAGACTCCAACTCAAAAAAAGAAAAAAAAAGGAAAAGAAAAGACACGAGCAATTCGGGATTTGCAGAAGCCCCGTGTTAATACAGAAATGCCCAGTCGAGACCAGTGGAGTTGGCCCATCATCCAAAAAGCGTTCTCCTTAGATTCACTTGGGGAAAAACCGACCTGGGCGTGAAGAGCCATCTCCAGGCCGACGGGGGCGGCATCACTGGGGATGGGGTGGGGGTGAGGGAGGGTCTTTTCCCGGCGCTCCCAGTGGGCAGAGTGGTGGCCAGGGGCCCTGCCCGTCCTCTCGTGGGGAGCTGGAGCCTGCCTGCGGCGGACTTGTGTCTGGGGAAGCGAGTCCCCAGGAGACACAGGAGGGGAGGATGAGGACGGGCTGGCTGGGCGCGCAGGGCATGGGGCAGCGGGAGGGCTTCCTTTTCCTTCTCCTTCCCAATGAAATCGTTTTCCAGTTTACGTGCAGATGTTCTTTGCCCTGATGATAATCGTCGCCGGGGCCTTAATCATCACCCTTATCTACAGGTCAGTCACCTTCGTTCATTCCTGTGACACACAGAACTCACAGGGTAGGCGGGGCGGGCAGGAGGGACCAGGCGGCCGGGAGCATGGCTGGGCGAGCCTGGGCTGGCATGAGCCTGCCGGCCAGGGCGGGCCCCTAGGTCCTCTCCAGGGCTCTTGCTGGTGAATGGAAGACCCGCCCTTAGTGGGCACCCAGCGCTCCGAGCGCCCCCTTCACCCATCTGACCCGGCAACCATGAGGGCGTCGCCGCCGTGACTGTCCCTGTGTGGGATGACGGCCGTCAGCCCCGGAGGTCCACAGCGAGTGATGGGCGGCCGGGCTCCGCCTCAGGCCCCGTTGTCCTAGAGCCCCGGATCCAGGGCTGGCCGAGGGTCTGCGTGCGAGTCACGGTTAGAGGGCGGAGGCGTCCCCGAGACGAGTCTACGCACCCTCATCCCCACGGGAGGAAGTGTGGACCAGGAGGGAGGTCCCGATGGCTGGTGGCTGTCCACGGCAGGGCTGGAGTTGGGAACCCCATGCGTCTTCAGCCGCCAGCCGTTCCTGTGACAGGCGCACAAGCGCCGAGATGGTCCGTCCCTTTGTGCGGCGATGAGGAAAGCCATGTTCCCACCGAGGGGGTGCTGCCTGCCGTCTTGCGTGGTCAGCCACGAAGACTCCCCCGCTGACATTCGAGACAATACACATCCTTTCTTCCCTGGTGTTGCCTGTGGGGGTCCAGATGCCACGGACAGTCGTCTGTCTGGAGCACGAGAAACTATCGAGGCAAAGCAGTTACCTTAAACAATAAGCACGGACACCGGGTGCAGTGGCTCTCGCCTGTCATCCCAGCACTTTGGAAGGCTGAGGCGGGAGGATCACTTGAGCCCAGGAGTTCGAGACCAACCCAGGCAACATAGTGAGACCGTGTATCTACCAAAAATTTTAAAAAGTAGCCAGGCTTGGTGGCACATGCCTGTAGTCTCAGTTACTTAACAGGCTGATGTGGGAGGATCGCCTGAGCCCAGGAGGTAGAGGCTGCAGTGCACCACGATTGTGCCACTGCACTCCAGCCTGGGTGACAGAGTGACACTTGGACTCCAAACAAAAGGCGTGCACGATTGTGAAACCTGCATTTTCAGAGGGTCATCCTGGCAGGGGTGAGGGGGAGACCAGGTGGCCCAGAGAGTCTTCCATCTTTAATTTCTCTACTGTGATAAAACCCTCTCCCCATCAGAGTTGTTCAAGAGAGCCGGAAGGAGAAAGCAGTCACCACGGACACCACGTTATTAGCCAAGCCCAGTGAGGAAGCTGAGGGGGTCTCAGCTGGTGGTCAGTCACTGCTGAGGCCTTCGAGCATGGAGACCTCCAAGAGGAGTGACTTGAAATCAGAGGACGGTAAGATGGCGCTGAGGGTCAAGGGCGTGGCTGCGCCCTGCACGAGACCTCACCTGTCCCGGCCCTTTGCCAAGGGTCGCCCTTGCTGTTTCGTTTGGGCAAATTCTCACTGAGGACTGTGTAGAGCGGGTCTGAGGGTGGATCCCGCTCTTGGCATGGTTTCCTGCGCCCCAAGCAAGTTCCTTCCGCCCCCTCCAGCTTCCTGTCACCTGGTGGGCCCTTGGTGGGGGGGGTTGTGTTCATCAAGTGACTTCCTGAAGGGAGGCTGCTCTCTGTGGCCCCTTGACCATCTGGCGGGTGTGGCAGAAGACGCGGACGGTCGCGCACCGTGTCCGCCTCTGGTTTTCGGGAAGCAAAGTCGATCCTATGCTGGTCCCCCCTTCCCAGGGGGTCCTCTGGGGGTTGCTGGTTTCCCTGGGCCGACAGCTTGCCGGGTTTGGGAAAGAAACGCTTCGAGTAAGAAGCCGTGTCTTCACAGGTGTCTGTGCGGGAGTGCCAAGGGTTCTGTTTTATTGACGGCCGCGTAGACTTGGTTTTACTGGAGCCATCGGGAGAGGCTGGGGCAGGGGAAGAGGGATCCCCAAGCTGCAGACCTGGAAGGCCTCGCCCCAACCAAGGTGCACAGCCTGTAGAGCGCGTGCACCTTGTCCAGGGCGCTTCCTGGGTGACGAGATGATGAGGGATGGTGAGATGACGAAAGATGCTCCCCCACAGAATGCATGAGGAGCACAGGGTGGCAGAGAGCTCCCCACCCCCCAGGTGGGGCTTTTGGGTAGATGATTGCCACCTGGACGCCGCGTGGATGTGTTCAAAGACCTTGATAAACTCAATCCCTTTGGGATTGATAAGTATGCCATCAAAACAAAACAAAACAAAGAAATGCTTTTTCTTTTTAACAAATCTAGTGACACTGACATTAACGGAAGCTGAAGAAACAGAGGACTGAAATACCTGATAAAGAAATCGAGCTTGGCAGGAAGATTCCAACGGAGCGGCAGGCAAACACTGTCGGTGAGCCCCGGGGGGGCCACCCCAAGAAAAAGTAAAGGCATTTTGGAAATTGCTTCTCGTTGGGTGTTGTTCACTGCTCTGTCTTCTTTATACACACACACACACACACACACACACACACACACACACACACACATTTTGTTTGTTTGTTGTTTGTTTGTTTTGGTTTTTTTTTTAAGTTGGAGTCTCACTCCGTCGCCCAGACTAGAGTGCAGTGGCCCGGCCACTGCAGCCTCCAGCTGCTGGGCTCCGGTGATCCTTCCACCTCAGCCGTCCAAGGAGCTGGAACTACAGGCATGTGCCACCACGCCCGGCTAATTTTTGATTGATTGTAGAGATGAGGTCTCGTCAAGTTGCCCGGGCGGGTCTCAAACCCGCGGGCTCAGGCAATTCACTCACCTTGGCCTCCCAAAGCGCTAGGATGACAGGCTGAGCCACCGAGCCTCTATTTTGTTTTAAAGATGTAGGTGTGGGATACAGTTCAGGATTTGATGCACAAGTGGACATCGTGGAGGTAAAGTCTGGGCCTCCCTTTGGCCCCCACCTGCCTGGTTTGAACTGGTCTACTGTTGTCTCAGGAGAGGGCAGGGCAGAGCTGGTCAGTGGAGCTGACACAGAAGCTCGCAGCGGGTGAACACTCAGCGTGGTGTGGGCAGGTGTGCTCGTAAATCACCCATCAGGAAATGGGCAAACACGTTGAAAGCATCTCCAAAAGAATTCACTGAAGCTGATTGCAGCCTCTCCCAACAATGCTAGCTGGTGCCCTGATGCCGATGGGTTCCTAGAGCACTTACCTAGTGGAGGAAGCCTGTGCTACAAGGGACCCATCCACCAAAAAAAAATTGGGGTTTTTTTTGGGGGGGTTCCCCCTCGTAAATCATGTAGCACGGTAGCTTTGCATTAAAATCACTTGGGAGTTAAAAACATACATATGGCTCCTCCATGCAGCAGGTCTATGATGGTGCCTGGAGATCTCATCACATGAACCTCCCTGAGATGACCGTGACATTGGGGAAGGCTTGTGACTGAGGACACATCCAGGGGCCAGCTCATGCAGGAGGCAGGTTCGAAACTGACCAATTCTAGGTCACTTGTCTTTATCTGCACTGGGTAGGCCATTGAGTAATTTAGAACAGGTTATAGGAAACTAAGTGGAATCTGCTTTCCTCTGAGACCTTTCTGGTGCTAATCATTTATGACCAGGCCTGCTTTGTGGCTGTATGGTATTCTGGGAATTCTGAGGTTCAAAGAAGTGAGACATTCCAGTGCAAAGAACCAGTAATGACTTAAATGGATGAATAAGGGCCATTTCTTATCAGTGAGTCATGTGGACTCTCGGTCTTGGACCGACAAGTTTTCTATGGTCCAATAAGGTTGTCTTGGTAAGCTGGACTTGGTGGCTCAGCCTATAATCCCACGCTTTGGGAGGCTGAGGTGAGTGGATTTCCTGAGCTCGTGGGTTCAAAACCCACTTGGGCAACTTGGCGAGACCTCATCTCTACAATAAATTAAAAAAAAAAATTAGCTGGGCGTGGTAGAGCACGCCTCTAGTTCCAGCTACTTGGAAGGCTGAGGTAGAAGGATCACCGGAGCCCAGCAGAGGTTGAAGCTGCAGTGGCCAGGAGTGGCCACTGCACTCCAGTCTGGTTGACAGAGGGAGACTCCAACTCAAAAAAAAAAAAAAAGATTGTCTTGGTACCAAACATGAAAGCTGGCAAATATGAATAAATAATTTCTAAAACTAAGCTATAACACATTTTCAAAAATTATATAGACAAATCTGTATTTACTGTGTGGGATATACATGCATTTTTATATATTGACGTTGGTGAGACCCCCTAAAGTAAGAGATTCTGGGTCTCTAGAAACATAAGAGCAAATATCCAGTGTTGCAGTTACTTTCATGCTGGGAAATATGTCTTTATGTTCAAAAATCAAGTTATGGCACATAAGTCATCAGAGAGCCTTATATTTTGGAGAGCAGCCACTGGACACCACATGGATCTAGAAGGTCAGTGGGAGATACACACAATCCATTTTTTTCTCTTCAGTACACGCACTTGTGGTTTTTCCAGGAGAAAAGTTAATCTCCTCAACGCAGGGCACAAGCAAAGCCAGATCAGCTCCCATATTATGGAATGTGATTTCGGCTGTCTCACACTCCCACCAAAACCTGAAATGTGAGCTGTCACCCAAGTAAGCTCGTGGGAGAAGAGGGAAACAGCATAATGCATGCCCACCATCACCCCCTTGGCCTCTGGTGCTACGGTCCAAGCAGAGAGGGCCGCCTTTCTTCATGCCCCAACTCACAGTCCCTGGTGCCTCTGCTGGAATATGGACAGTTGGTGAGAAGAAAGGGCGGGACTGAAAAGGTATTTGAGAAGATAATGGCTGAAAAATTCTCACCAGGCACAAGACAAACCTGCTAGTTCAAGAAGTTGAGTGAACACATTTCTGAAAACTAAAGACAAGGAAAAAAAAGAAAAACTCATCAAGGTGACGATAGAGAAAGAACAGCTTATCTAAGAGGAAAAATGAGGATGATGGCAGCAGGTCACCTATGAGAAAGCACGGAGCCCACATGAAAGGGGCACAACATTTTTCAAGAACTGGCAACCTCGCATTTTATACCCAGTGAAAATATCCTTCGGGGTGAAAGGGGAACCAAGATGTTTTCAGAAGAAGGGTAACAACAGTTTCTCTAGCCGACCAGCACTACAAGAAGAATGGAGGAAGGTGATTCTCCTATCAGAAAAGACATGGTCAGGGAGAAAGAAAAAATAATGTAAACACAGGGAAAACAGAACAGCTTTTCCTTCTCTTGAGTTTTCTAAATGTTGCCTAAATGTGACTCTGTTATAAGGTGGGTCTCAGTGTCTGTAAAGAAAACATTTGCTGGGCTCAGTGGCTCAGCCTGTAATCCCAGCACTTTGGGAGGCCGAGGTGAGTGGATGGCCTGAGCCCGTGGGTTCGAGACCCATTTGGGCAACTTGGCAAGACCTCATCTCTCAATAAATAAAAAATTAGCTGGGCATGGTAGCCCATGCCTGTAGTTCCAGCTCCTTGGAAGGCTGAGGCGGAAGAATCGCCAGAGCCCAGCAGGTCGAGGCTGCAGTGGCTGGGAGTGAGACTCCAACTCAAGAAAAAAAGAAAAAGAAAACATTTAAGACCACTTAGTTGTACATGGGAGGACAAGGTTTCTCTACTTCCTTCAGGTGCAGCCGCTCTGGAAAATCGTTTGGCAGTTTCTTAAAAATGTAGACCTACAGCTATTAAGCAGTTAACAATTGTACTCCCAAGCATCTGTGCAGAGAAATGAAAACTTATGCTCACACAAAGATGTGTATACACGTTCATGGCAACTTTATAAGAGTCAAAAGGTGAAAAACAGCTCTACAGTAAGTGAATGGTTCAAGAACTTGCGGTCTATTCATTCCAAGGAGCACTACTCAGCAATAACAAAAAAAACCTATTGATGCACATGATAATTTGGACAAATCTCAAGGCATTATCCTGAGTGACAAAACCAATCTCAAAAAGTCACATATTCCTTTTGTTTCCTCCCAGAAACGAGGTCTCACTCTGTCATGCAGGCTGGAGTGCCGTGGTGTGATCATAAATCACAGTAACCTCAAATTCCTGGCCACAGGTGATTCTCCTGCCTCAGACTGCCGAGTATATGGGACTACAGGCATTCCACTACACCTGACTAAATGTTTAAAGTTTTGTAGAGATGGGATCTTGTTGTTGCCCAGGCTGGTCTTGAACTCCTGGCTTCCAGTGATGATCCTGCCTTGGCCTCCCAAAGTGCTGGGGCTACAGGCATGAGCCACAGTGCTTGGCTGAGGCAACTTCTTAAAGTGACCAAGTTATAGGATGCGGAAAAATGAGTGGTTGCAGGGTGAGGGATGTTTGGGGGTGAAACGGGTGGGGTGACTTGAAGGTGGGGTGAGGGAGGTCTTCGGGTGATGGAGTTCTGTGTCTCACTCTCAGTGGGGGTGACATGAATCTGCACAGGTGATAAAATGGCACAGAACTTGACACACACGGGGGCACTCTCTTGGCTTTGGTATTGAACTACAGCCAAGACCCCTCTGTGCGAAACTTTCTGTGACTGTAATTGTTACAAAATAAAAAGCATCAAGAAGAAGGCTTTCTTAATAAAACAGAGCCAATGAAAAGCCCATCCACTGGGGGGGAAAAAAAAACAGCACAAACCTAGTCTGCAGATGCGGTGTGATGTCCATCTTAAGGACAAAAGCAAAGTCCTAGTCCCATGCAGTTTGAGAGACGCCGGCTTTAGGAGAGTGGCAGCATTCTGATAGAATACAGAACCCCAGCAAGGGACACAGACACATGGCAGCTATCGTATGTCTTGGAGCGCAGTTCTGAGGCTCATCCCGCCCACAGAGTCCTTCATTTTTAAAATCAACAATGAAGACCTTTACTGGACACAGGCTTTCTTCAACAGGTCAAGGTCCTTTAACTATCCTGCATCTTTGGTTTTGTGTTTTCTTTTCAGTGTGATATAATTTTGCAAAACAAGAGAGAAGCCTTCTCCATTTATACCTGTTGGGCCAATGGCATCTGAGCTATCTTTGCATTTTGATGAGGCTGATGAAAATAGAAGATGTGGCCAGGTGCAGTGGCTCAAACCTGTCATCCCAGCATTTTGGGAGGCCAAGGTGAGAGAACTACCTGAATCCATGGGT